ATCTCATACAGTCTGCGAACAGGACGAAACGAAAAACTTGTATTGTGAGGAATGCGCCATAAAAGGAAAACTTAATCTGCCAATCTGCACCCAGTGTGGACAATGCGCTCCAGCACACGAAATGTACATCATCAGAACAAGCTGCTCGATGAAATATTTCTGCTCTTATTTGGAACAATGTGTCTACGTATTTAATCACAGTGGTTGGTAAACAAATAAAGAAACAATTAAAAAACTTCGCGATGCCAATAGCCTATTGCATGTATATCACGAATGTAACGAGATAGAAAAAGTCATTTTCGCTAGGTATATTACCGAATACGATGTGGAAGAAGAGATGGCGTGGGTTGACTATTCTGATCCCAAAGATACTTCTGCGCAAGAGATATTTATGGAAATCTACCAGCAGATTTCTTCTGATCGATGAATACAGCTGGTTCGCTTGAAGTATATTAATGTTCAGCTTTGCAAAGAATACCTAATATCTTGTAGCCTGAATAAATGTACAGACTGCGTACAGTCTGATCGACCAATCAAAATTTAATTAAAGAAATGAATAATATGAACTTGATGATTAAAATGTACAACAACGAGAAAAAAGGGAAATTACCTGAACAAGCTCATCCAACAGACGCTGGCTTTGACGTTCAATACCCCGGAGAAACACCCATCCAAATTTCATCACGACAAACAGTATTGATCGATCTTCATATCACTTTCAAGATTCCAGTAGGAACCGTATGTCAATTGATGTCTTGATCCTAAGGATGCTTGCCTAAATCCTTTCAGAAAAATATCGTCATAATTTCGACGGGTTACACACTAATTGTTAATTAGAATTTCGACATAATTTCGGTTACGACGGGTTTCAAAATTCGTCAGAATTTCGACAGGTTATTTACTAATAGTTTATTATAATTTCGACAGAATTTAGACAGTCACTAAGGGATTTCGGCAAGCAACCTTACTCGATCCTCTCTCGCAAAAAAGGGAATAGAAGTCAAAGGAGGAATAATTGACGCTGGTTATACAGGAAATATTGGAGTGCTAATATACAATAATTCTGAAGAACCTTACCAGATTGAGCTGAATGAACGCGTCGCTCAAGCCATTTTCTTACAACTTGTCGAGGTCTCTGGAATCCAATTAGTGAATACCCATGAAGAACTAGAGAAGGCTTGCTGAGGTGATCGTGGCTTTGATTCGACCAGGAAAGATGAGATGAAGGTGTACCTCCTAAACAAAAATAAAAATGAAAATCCTATCGAACAATGAAATTAACTTTGGATCAAGTCAGACAATTAGAAAAACTATTAGAAACTTACAAGGACATCTTTGCGAATGAAATCAATGTACTAGGATGCGTGAACGTGATTCAATATCGAATAGAAACTGAGACTGACAAACCTATTCGACAATACGCTTATAGAGCAACACTTTCAGATCAAGATTTTATTCATAATGAGATTCAGCACATGCTTGAAGCAGGAATCATCCAACGGTTCAGTAGCCCCTGGTCTTTGCCAATCGTAGTAGTCGCTAAGAAAAATGGAAAAAAATGACTATGTGTAGACTATCGATGACTTAACTCAATAACTAAAAAGGACG